TTATTATTATTATTTTCCCCCGAAAGACAACAGTGTCTTTAAGACTCTCACGCTTTTGGCCACATCCATCGGCTGGCTTGGACCTTCTTTTTGGTGCCGGGACTTATGAAACCTGCCCTAAATGCTACCTATACTGCAAACATTTCCCCAGCAGTTCTTCTGAATACGTGTGGTGGGTGAGCAAAAAGCCATGTCACACCAAACCCTCGAGCATAGGACCTTGCCCTGCCAGCGTTGGCAGGGTGAGGAAAAGGCCTAGCACGGAGCTATGAGCATACCTTACTTTCCTGTGACCCACTGAAATGATGCTGGAACGCGCCTGTGTTCACTTGTTAACTCCAGCGTCGAAGATTTAACGGCGAAATTCGCAAAAGGAGGATCATTTGCCCAAAATGACTGAACAAGGTCATAAGGAATTATGGGTCCCAGAGTTACTACGGATAAAAGAACGTGCAGTAACGTAACACCAGAGTAAAAATATAAAGTTTCCATTGGTTTATTTTCCTTGTGCGCTGTTCCACTGTATACATGCAACCAAATACTTTCCCATATTAAAAGAAAACTGTATATACATATAGATGATACATACCAAAAACAGTGATGCCATACAAAGATATTGCATTTTGTGAACGTGTCAAAGAAATTACATCAATTTTGTAAAATTATTAATCAAAAAACATTCTTATCACCACTTTGTTGCACATGTAGAGAAATCCCACACCCTTCAGCCCCAAAGAAACAACAAAACAAAACAAAACAAAACAAAACGGGAAAAAAATGCATTCGCACAAAATAGGTCATGGGTTCTTTTTTAAATTATTTACAAGTCTTGTAAAACACCGTTCCTGTATGAAATATACATTCAGATATTCTCAACAGCAAATCACCTTAACGATAGAACACCATATCTTTTGTAAACTGATATAGAATTTTAAATATTTTCCTTTTTTTTCTTTTTTTTCTTTTTTTTTTTTTAAATTGCATTTTTTCCACACTTTGGTTCCTGCAGGGAAATATATATATATTTATAGATATTTAAAATAACTCCAAACGACTCTCCATTCTTTGCATATGTCGACAGGGCAACAAAGTAGAGCTCATGACATTTAAAGTAGACAACAACAAAATTACCATATTTACATTGTTTGACTTCTGTTTAGACTCCTCATTAGCCATTAAACGAACATGCGATCGAGTTATTTTAATGATCCAATGTTAGTGCATAGCACAACTCCAAGTTTCAATTAAGTGTTGTGTGGTATTTGCTAAACTGTCGTTCTCCACAGGTATTTCCTGAAGAAAGTTTGTGAGCCAGAAGCCAGAAGGTTAGTTTCCTTTATGGAGTTGTTTCTTTTAAAAAGCTGAAATACACACTTTTTTCTCTTTTTTTCTTCCCCTCCCTCCCCCCCCTTCTTATTTCTAGTAGTTAAATATGATTTGTCTCCAAAAAGATGGCAACGCATAGTCAGTTGTCATAAATAAAACGAGAGCTAATTAAAATTTGCTTTTTTTTTTTTTCTTCACTGATTGTTTCTTTACGATATATGGCGAATGTATACCCGATTTGTAAAGTAAATATTAAAGTATTTCATGTAGTTCTCTTCCTTGCCCCTACCCTTTCCCTCCCCACACCCTCAAAGGAAACGCTGCTATACCCATCACTACATCCATATTACAACTGCTCGCGATTGGCCTCGTGAAGGTGTAAGCAGGTCGTCCCCCCTCTCCCCTCAATTCTGAGTATGTGTGTGTCCCTTAAATTTTCCTCTCAAACCCATGGGCAGTGGAGCCCGGCCCCTAACCTAGACATTTTCCGCTAAGGAAGGACGAAAGATTATTCCTCAAGAGTTCATATCCTGCAGTGGTTGGGTGAGCTCGACCTGGCCACCTCTGTCCAGCTGTTCTGCAGCAGCACAGGGGCGATGGAGGGTCCGTGGGGTGAGTCTGGGGACGGAGAGGTGCCGTCCCCGCCTGTGCCTGCCGAAAGCGGTAGCAGGGTGAGCCGCAGTGCCTGGAAAGGTAAGAGGTATGGATTTTGCACTCAGAGGTGACGTGCACGGTTAGAAATGGATGCCATGTGTGTCTAAATCAAATGGATTCCAGTTGATATGTAAATATATGTGTATGTAAAAAAATCATCATTGAAGTTCCCGAGTAGCTTTACATGTACGTAAAACCTTGGATTCTTCTAGTCCCGTCAGATACACACCTCCTTCCTCCACGTAACCCCGTGGATTGACCTTGTCAAGGGCGAAATCTGAATTTAATCTCGTATTGGAAAAGGCTACGAGTTTTAAAGTAGTGGATTAGCTGAGTAATATTGTAATCGGTCCCTGTTAATTTTTTTTTCTTTCATTCTTCTGTTCTGAAACCATATTTTCACTTGGCGGTCGGTCAGATTGAGCATTCGAGAGAGCTGAAGGCGTTTCTCTTTGTTTATGTAGACACTGAAGAAGAATTCCCTTTCTAACTCTCTAATCTGATATTTGGTGTATGGGCATCTCTTTTTACGGGTACGTTGTCCACCTGTGGAGTGAAAAAAGGCAGAAGCGTTTGAGACCCGGCGGAGGCGGGCATCGGGGGCGGCGTTTCTCTTTGTTTATGTAGACACTGAAGAAGAATTCCCTTTCTAACTCTCTAATCTGATATTTGGTGTATGGGCATCTCTTTTTACGGGTACGTTGTCCACCTGTGGAGTGAAAAAAGGCAGAAGCGTTTGAGACCCGGCGGAGGCGGGCATCGGGGGCCGAGAAGGGCTGGAGAGGACACTCCAGCAATAATTTTAATGTGGAAAAGATGCGTTTTGCCTACTCCGAAGCCGGCGTTGGCAGGTCCGAGGCTGGGAGCCAGCCCTCCACCTTAGTTGGCGGATATGGGTAGCCTGGGACAGGGACCCGCCGGGAGCTGCCTCGGCCCCCGAGCAGCGGGCAGGGCGGAAAC